TAATTCCTCTGACCATTGATTTTTCCTTGTGTCCTTTGGCTTCCCTTATCAATTTTCCTATAATTCCGAGCTTCTGATTTGTATTCATTGCCATCAACTTTCCCTTTCTTAGTTGTTTGATTTACATTGTAGCTAAAGGGAGCCAAAGAAAGACTTCCTTTGATTTCAGTGGGCTTTGGATTAGGCCCGTAAAGAGGATGTCAAAAGTGAAGAAAAAAACATTTATGGTGTCCTTTAGGTCTTTAAAAAATGATTACTTTCTTTCCCTAAGCATGTGTCTGTTTGGCTAAAATAAAAATAAATAAAATAAAAATGATTATTACTCTAATTTATTACTGTATTAAAATGGCATATTGTGCTTAAGTCATGAAAAATAGCAGTTTACATGTGAAAATAATTGAGCAAGGGGAGTAGAATAATAGTGAATTTTAAGACATATATAAGGATTAAAAACAAGAAGAGTTCTTTACTTCTGAAAATGTCATTGGAAAATGAAAATGCTTTCAAAATACCTAAAGGTATCAGTGCTGCCCCACCCTCTCAATTAAGAAGATGAAAAGCAATTTTTAAAATTATTATTAAATATCATGTAACAACCAGAAAGCTCATTAGCAGCTACAGCACCAAACATCACTGAAAGGTTAAAAATAAAAGCATATCTGTGCCTTGACTTGAGTCTTATTTACCCTTAAGCAATTTAAGTCTGCAAAGTATTTGTAGTGCAGTATCTTAGAAACACAATGAAATGGCAATCCAGAAGATTTAGTCTTGTACTGTCAACAGAATAGGGTCAGAGTGATTTCCGCTTCAAACAGAAATTATGTCTCTCCTACTTTTGTCAGTGAAAGATAAGTAGTGTATTATAGCAATATTTTAAAATGTTCCAGCTAAACACTTCCAACTCTAATCTTTCCTGCCCTTCAGCCTTCACTTGCTAAGTGCACAGTGGACAATTTCACAATTTCAGTTGTTACAGCTTTGCACTCAAATTATATTTTTGCCCCTTGGAGAAGACTGATTTTTCCTTTGTTGGATCGCTAGCATTTAACATTCACTGCAGGAAGCAGCTCTAAAGTGCTAATTGATAGGATGTCAGAGAACAGGCACCTTCATGTTAATGCAGTACTCAGCTGAGGGAGATTCAAGTGCTACCCATCTTCACACACTGGGACTCTTGCCCACACTGTAGCTGAGAATCACAATTAGGTCTTTGCAATTAGAACTATTATTTCTTCCTCACTCCCAGCACTCTGGTTGTGAATTAATGCCCGCTGTTGTTTCTGTTCAATCTTTTATGAACATAATCATTCCTCAAACTGTTATCTGAAAGGTGAAACAACAAACTTGCCTCCACTTGCAACAAGAATATAAATAGAGCTTTCATTAGCATTAGATAACTAACTGAATTCTCACCTCTATGGCACACCTACCTCCTACTTTGTCATCAGTCTTTCAGAAGCGACAGAACCAAGCCAACCACCAGTTAATCAATGCCTTATCGGCTTCTTACAAGATTGCCCACTCTGGTCCAAATCTATTACCTGAATAACATGAACTGGGACTGTGTTTGACATGGGTTATTGTTAAGGTTTGTTCTTAGCCTACTTGATAAGACATCTTTAGTACAAAACTAAGGCCTTACCTTTGTTTGGAGAATACATCAGCCCAAGCACAATAATATAAAACACTGCACGTTGGCTTCAGTGGGCTGACTAATGTTTCAAGTTAAGCATGTGTTTTAATGCTTTTCTGAATTGGGGCCTTATATGTTATATTAAGCTCCTAAAAATAAACTATTTAAAGTGTCTGTGTGTAGTCTAGGAACACTTTTCAATATCCAATATCTCAGTACATGACACGCTACTTTCTAGTTAAATTCTAAGTGCACCAATCAAAGTTAGCTGAATTGCAGATTTTGGGGACTGAAAGGGAAGACTGGTGTGAAAAATCGCTCTTTTTTGGTCTACTGGAAACTCCAATCCAAAGGTTGGTGGACAAAAAAATTAAATTGCTTAAATCCAACCATGTTAGTTGAACAGGTCTGACAACTGCAATAAGAATATAATCTGCACAATCTATCCCTTTCATCTTCTCCACTCTTCCACATTCTGAGGTGGGTTAAGCAAAGGGAGATGTGAGAGAATGAGCCAGTGTTACAGCTTTAGTTTTACCTTTTGATACAATAACATTTTTGCCTGCTATTCAGACACATATCCTTGCCAGGAATCCAATTAAAACTATGCTAATGAAGACTCTTAGGTGCTGAGCAGCCTCGGCTCTGACTGAAGTCAATGGGAGATGAGGGCAGTCAGCATCTCACACAAGGGGCTTACAATCAGTGCCGGTGCTAGTCCATTGGGGGCCCTAAGCAGGAATATTTTGCCCGCCCCAACACACATTAATAATTAATAGAGGCCACTCTTGAACTGCTCAGGGCCCTAAGCAATTGCTTAGTCTGCTTATGCCTAGCCCCAGCTCTGCTTACAATAGCGTCTATAAACAGATTGGTTCATGTATAATGGCAGAAAGATTTCTCAGCTCTTGTCACTAATGCTCACACAGACAAAGCACAGTGTAAAGCAGTGGTGGGCAACCTGCGGCCCCTCAGGGTAATCCACTGGCGGGCCAGAAGACAGTTTGTTTACATTGACTGTCCGCAGGCACAGCCATCCGCATCTTGCCATTCCCAGCCAATGGGAGCTGTGGGAAATGGCGGCCAGCACGTCCCTGCCCGCTGCTCCCATTGGCCGAGAACAGCGAACCATGGCCACTCTGGGAGCTGCAGGTGGCCATGCCTGTGGATGGTCAATGTAAACAAACTGTCTTGCGGCCCGCCAGCGGATTACCCTGATGGGCCACGTGTGACCCGCGGGGTGCAGGTTGCCCACCACTGGTGTAAAGAGTACTGCATGTAACAATATCACTACATTTATGCATTCATTCAACTCATTTTCCACGTCTCTCAAGTCCAACAATACTCATGTTTGCACACAGTCTGTGGTGATGACGGGGGAATGGAATCTGTCCCACAGGAGAAACTCTTGTATATTTCAATTTATTCTGAATAAATGTTCAACAAAAAAATTAAAGCATTTACTTTTCTTAAAAAATGGTTTCCATGAAAGGATTTTTATATAGTCATCTAAGTAGTAATACAGTATTTATATACAAAATCTCATTTCAAACAATTTACTGTACAAAAGAAAGTATAACCATCAGTTACTCTTATGATTTCAGCAAATAATAAAATTTATGACAAATATGTACTTGGGTATAGTTTTACTATTTACAGGAATGTCAGTATTAAGCCAAGAATATTAGATAAATTATTTACAGTTGAAATTCCTTCAGAGGAAGTTCCCGAACATTTATCTTCATAAAAGGTGTCTACCTGTTGGTTTTCTTCTAGAATTTTTAGGTTATTAATGAATGAAATAAAGAATATATTTTCTATAAGAAATATGGACAAAACTCTGCTTGTCTTACTCATATGCTAGTGGCTCTGCTGCAGTCAGTGAGCCTGATTTTGCATACAGGTACTACCAGGCATACTCTGTGCTAGAATAAATCAGACAGGATTTGGCCCTATTTTACTAAAACATGTCAAATTATAATTTAAAAAAAATAGTGACATTCCTGCAAGTCAAAATATTAGAGAAACAAGCGTTAACAAAATATAAGCCCTTTATTAATAAAAATCTTTGGTTGGATCAATATTTTAAATTAGTTTTAACAATATTTGGTTATTATAATTCACTTCTTTCCACATAATTTCTCTTCTGGTGTCTTTTTGAACAGACTACAGAAAAAACATCTGAAGGTAATCACATACTTCATAGTAAAAACAATAAATATTACAAAACAAAGTGTGGTATTTTTAAAGTTCTATTTTAAATCTTTATATTACTTTGGCAAACAAAATAAAAATAAAAAAAGACACCCCCCCATCCCCACCCCACTTATTTTCATGAACTATAAGTCTTTTGACATTTGGTTTTGTAACAAACCATACAGTAGACAGACTGAAAAACTTTTGTTTTTATTTTAGTTATTTGGTTTAGTGTATTGTTTAGTTTGCTTTTTCAGTATAACACCAAGAGAAGGTGTTAAAAGAAATGAGGTTCATTGCACCAATATTCTTAGGAAGTGCAGTTTATCACTAGACAAACCTTAAACTAAAAATTTACTGTACATGAAAAGAGTTGCACTGATGGGGTCTAGATATGCATTACAGATAAGGATTTTAGATTTATTTTAAGGAAATGTTATATATATAAGATAACATATTTTAAGACAAAATAAAAGTCCTGTAATTGAAGTTCTGGTCCTGTAGTTCCAGAGTAGGCAAAACTTCCATTAAAGACAATAAGATCCATATTCATCCAGAATCTACCCTTACTCTTCCTGGCATAGTCTCTGGTAGATGTTACCAGTCTCAGAAAGTCTGCCATACTGGGGAGACTGTAGCCAAGCAAAATGGCTGTGACCTCCTCTTCATTGCAAAGGAGAGTGGGCTGTAGAGAAGGAGCTGGTGGGGAAAGGTGGATTCAGTGTATCCTTTCAGCAATGATGTTGCCTAGATATTAGGCAGGGCAGTGTAAATTACTGTAGCAATACATGCGCTCATGATTCAGGGACACTTTTGAAAATGCTCTACAGTGCTCTGGCTGCTGGGAAATCCTATGAAATTGTGCTGGTACTGCTTCAGAACCCTTAGTAGATTATGACAAGACCACAGTACAGCCTAGGGCACTGGAGCACCTGCACCAACATGAATCGTTCACCTGATGAGCTTTTGGGGTAAGTGAACAGCTGTCAGTGGTGCACAGAGTTAGGATTAAGGTTAACATGTGCTGCACCGACTTCATCTGCTTATTTTTCACAGTGGGGAAGTGCCCAAATGGAAGACTCTAGTGCACAGCAGACTGCTAGCAGGGTCCCTGTGGAGTCTCAGCTTTAAAAAAAAAAAAAAAAAAAGCTATTCCCCCGCCCTATCCCTGTCGATGGGGTGAATCTCCCAATGGGTAATTTACCGTGCACCAGCTTCAGTGTATCTAGCCTAGTTATATACTGTTTGATGTAAATCTTTTCAGACTCCTGACAAGGAGAGTTTTGTTTGCCTAGGATCTGCAGGTTCAAATCCAGATTATGTCTGCCAGGGGAGCTGAGCTGCATCTTTTGAAACTGAAGATGCCTTATAAGGTTTATATTGTTTCTCTTCTCCTGTTAAATGAAATGCTAGAGCACATTGTAAAATTGACTTTGCATATATTTTGTAGATCTGCTCAAAGCCTTTCAGGGATTGGCTGCCAAAAAGATTTAAAATTATGATTTGAAATTTACTTTGGTTATTTCTTAATTAATAAGCTAAAGTCAGATTCTCAGAGAACATTTCTAAGTACCAGCATTTTGTTAACACACACTAACATCCACAGTGTTATCTAACTATGAAATATAAAAATTCCCTGCATTACTTAAAAAAAAATCCTATCAGAAATAGAATGTGGCCTTCCATATTTGTAAGAAGTGCATTTCTCACAAAGATGAGAGCAAAATGGTTGCACATACTTAAACATTCACCTGGTTGTCCATAAATCAAGTCTTGCCCTTTAAGTGATGGCTTGTTTATCAGTGGAATGCCTCAACAAAACAAAACTACCCTCCTCTTCTATACATCAATGTGATATGAATGGCAGGAGGACATGCTCCCGCTGTGGCTCCTTGAGACCTTGGGGCTGTGGTTGTTACAGTTTTCACCTTTTTTCATGTCCTTGTCTTTCCAGGTTTCTATCATTTGCAGCTTTCCCTGTTCTTCTTTCATGAACACCTCCACCATGAGAACTTTCTCTTTATGAATCTGCTGACTAATGTCCTTGGGAATGTCTGGGATAATCCAGTCCACAAAGTCACTCATAAACATGACCAAGTTCTGAAAAATAAATTTTAAGAAAATGTTAGCAAGGTCAAATGAAATGAGAATAGATATAGATATTTAGATTTTTGTTGTAGTTCAGAAGGGACAATATTCTAGGCTGGGCCTTTCTCTTCCTCACAAGCATGTTAAAGTTCCATGTATCAGCTATTTAGCTTTACCATCACTTTCCCATAAATATTAGGCGACAGAGGAAAATGGCAGGGATAGGTCTCCCTGACTGATGCAGAACAAATACAGTAGTGCGAAGACAGAGGGAAATACTGTAGTTGGTATATGGCTGTTTATGCTTGACATTAACAGTGCATGAAAAATGACTAAGTAGGCTGAGAATTTTCTGAGGGAACAGTTCACTGTTACAAAATGCTGATTTGACAAAACAGAACATTTCATAGGAACATAACCATTTTGTCAAAAATGTTGATGAAATAGTATCAAAATATTTCAATAAGGTCAAAATGTTTACTTCAATTTTGATGTTTATGTAATCCATTATATGAAATATTTTTATTTAGCAAAAAATGCAGAGATTTTGACTTTTTCCTCCCAGTTTCAGAGGAAATCAAATTTTGAAATCTTGGCATTTCCCATGGCTGGAAATTCATTTTTTGGCCTGCTCAGAAATGACTCTAGATGAAATCCATTCAGGACCAGCATACCAGTCTATGAATCACTTAAGCAGGCTTGGTTTAAAGGCTTTTGAGGCCCTGTGCTCTATGGAAATTGGGGACCTACATTCAAATTAGGCCCAGTGACTGCCACACCTCATCTGCTGTCATGACAGAGGGGTGGCTGGGCCAAACCTGTGGAATGCTGTGACTGCTTGAGCTTTGCTCCAGCTTCTGCCAGAGCTGCACGACATGAATAGAGGCCCATCCAGCAAGCGCACCCAACCCATACCTACCTGCTACACCAAGCCCTGAATGCACCTCCCAAAAATATATATACCCCAGAAACCCTTCCCCAGTCCCCACTTATCCTGACAGCCACCCCATGTATCCCATCAGCCCTGACATACATCCCTCTCACTGAAGCCCCCAACACCACAGCCCCAGTTGCCATAGCCCCCACATCCTGGCCCCCCATTACCTCCACAGCCCGCACAATTCACTTTACTGCTTCTTAACATTCCCCACTTGTCACCACCCCTCACCCCACAGCTCTGAATCTCTTCCCACTCACCCAATAGCCCACCAACAATTTACCCCCAGTCCCTCACCCACTGCTTTGGGATCTTCCTGGGGGCTCACCAGTGGGCCCCCCATTCCTCCCATCTTGGCTCAGCGCTCTGCTGCTGTCCTGGACTAGGGAGGCTCCTCCTGATCCTGGCTGCCCAGTGACTCTCTTCAATCCCACTGCCTGCCTCCCGCTCACAGGACAAGACGGGCTGGTGGCTAGGCCAAATTTGCATGAGTGGCATTTCTACATGGCACGTGGGGTCACAGCGCCACTCAAGTTTGGCCCATCATAATGCCACCCATCCAAATCCGGTGAGCAGAGCACCCCCTATGTTAGGGGCCCTGTGCAAGTGTACAGAGTGCCCATTGGCCATTCCAAGTCTGCACTTAAATCCTTCTTAGTCCATGCTTGTATGATTTAAATGGGACCTAAGTGATGCACAGGCCTTGTGCCTCACCTCCCATTAAAGTTACTGGTCTATATACACTGCATGTGGTGCAGGGAGCAGTGTATCCCTGTGGGGGATACATCCTGTGGCTGTTCTGTGGCTTTGCATCATGCTTGAGAAGGTTGTGAAGATCAGTGCCCCCAGGGAGGAACTCTGACTGGTAAATGATATCCAGTGGACTCTCATCTCATTTAGTTAAGGAATAGTTTTATGTATGTATATGTGATCTCTCTTTCCTTGTTAGGAGTCTGAAAAGATTTACATCAAACAGTACCTGAAAAACTATCACAAATGCTAATCTTGCTGCTAGGACAGCCCAGAAGTCCTTTGAAATTTCATATTTGTTTTCAGACCATGGGGGTTCTCGGTAATCTTTGTATCTGTAAAACAAGACATAATAAATCAAGGATGTTGTTTTAAAATGTTCACACAATTAGGATTTAGTACAGAATATGCATTAAACACTAATTCAGATCTTTTTGATACAAATCCCTCTTACAGAAAGGCTGTGTAAAAATCCAGCCAAACAAGACAAAACTAACAGCCTGCCACAGCCTTGAAATTTTATGTGGATTAGAAGAAGACAACTCTTAAATGTTTATGCTTTCTGATCAGTATGAACAATATAAACTCAGAGTAAAGAGGGGCTGAGCTGCAAAATTCAGATCACAATCTCAACTTCTTCCAAGTTTGGGAGGTATTTTATGTTTCAGGTTCAGCTATAAGAGCAAAATACTGAACTCAAATTGATATGGTGGATCAGAACTCCAATATTTAGATTTCCACACATAGGAAGAACAGAAGATTGGAGTCAAGCTCTTGCTGAGTTGATATGAAAGAAGAATTTCACCATAGCACTGGTTTATATATTCTATGAAACTGTGATGTAACAATAGCAATTTTATTTTGTTTTTAAAAAGTATCCTGACCAAAAAATGGAAGAATTTAAATTAATACCATTATATTATAAATGTATGCAGAAATTATATCTCCATATTCTAAAATGTGATTTTACAAGAAGAAAGGGAGTGTGAGAGAAAAGATGGAATGAGAATTAAAAAGGACTTGTGGGGAAAGGAGAGAAGAAAACACAGTGCTCTGTGTTGGACCATGAAGCCTACTCTTCCCTTCTAGTCATAATTCTACACTGAAAACATTTCAATCAAACTGGTATTTCCTCCCCCAAGAGAGATCACCTCAGGGATACAGAGGAAAGGAAAGGTAGGTAAGAGTAGATAACTTTGCTGATTCTAGCTGGTTTTTACTTTCATGTCACAGTAAAAGTGATTTTTAATTTTAATGGTCATTTTAACAGATTAAGTTTTGATTTCTTCGACAGTTGTAAATAGTGTAAATTAAGAAAAACTCTGAATGATCTGCCTTTTTTTCTCTTGTCAATTTCTGTCATTTTCCAGTAGAAACAGACCAAAATCCTATATTTTTTTCTGTAATGTCTCCAATCTTTGTCCTTATCTTTGCTGTTTGAATTGCTTTCATTGCTGCTCTTGGCTTTGATCCCCAATTGCAGGCTTTGAGAACATTTTGAAGCTGATGCATATCTAAGTTAGCCTAGGCAAAGAATGCATTTCAACGTTGACCCAGATTTCTTGACCAGCTGAAATATTCAGCAAGAATTTTCCTTTAAAAACGCAAATAATATGGAACATTTGTTTTGATCACACTAGTTCCATGTATATTAGGATTTTAGATGGGTCTAAGACTAAGGATTTAATTCTGTCAGTGCTGAAGTCAATGGGAATTCCACACCAGGAGGGATGGGAAAATTGGGCCCACAGTGTAGACAAAGTTGCCATTATTGTCAGCTTGAACTACTGGATCAACTGGACAGTATGATAGGTAGACCTTGAAGTAGTGTCATTGCATCAGTACATCATGATTAGGGTTGGCAGACTTCAGTTTTTATTTTTTTGCATTTTTGATTAATATCTATTATTATTTTAAACAACTTCTATTTTTAAAGTTGTGGGAAACTAAGGGAGACAAGGTTGTGGTTGGAGTTAGGGAAAGTGCTGACAGTGATGTTTCAGGGAGTTCCCAGCACTGACAGCTGAGCTGCAAGGACCCAGGCGCTGAAGGGCCCAAGACATTAGGAAACATGATGCAGGGGAGGCCCAGAAAAGTGCTGGCTCAGCAAAGCAGAGACCCTGGCCAGGACTGCAAGGAGGAGGATGAGCCCCCAGCAGCAGGGAAGGTCACTCTGCTGCTGAACAGTTCTGCCTGGGAATGGCCCCTATACTCCTGCCTGGTGAGTGAGAGAGAGGAGCCGTGATGGTGGAGCTGCAGATGGCTCCCTGCATAGTTGTGGGGCCGATGACACCAGATCCCTGCAGGCACATGGATGGGGAAGGCTGCAGCCAGAGCAGAGACCCCTGGCCAGGACTGCAATGAGAAGGATGAAGATGAGCACCCAGCCGCAGAGGAGGCCACCTTTCTGCTGAATGTCTCCATCTCCAGGCAGGAGCCATTCAACAGCGAGGTGGCCTCCTGGAGGCCAGAGGCTTGCCCTCCTCCTTGCGGCCTTGGCCGGGGGTCTCTGCTCTGCCCCACCAGGACCATAGCCTTCCTTGCACTTTGTGCTGCAGGGATCCAGCATCACTGGCCCCACAGCGAGTCTCTGCAGCTTCTGCATCATGGCCCGATTCCCTCACTCCTGTGACAGCAAGGCTGCAGATGCTCTCTGCACTACTACAGGGCCAGAGACAGCCAATCCTTGCAGACACAAGGTGCACGGGGGAGGCTGCATTTGTGCCATTTGTAACAGATGGATTTTTTTTCCCCGTCTATTTTGGTGCGTCAGTTGAAATCAATGTTTACTGACATCTATCGATTTAAATTGATTCCTGCCAAGCCTAATCATGATGCAAAATTGTGACATCTTGGCAAAATGTCATCTTGTTGCCCCAAAGCATCAGTATGCTGTGAAGTGACTGCATCAAAACATCATGTCACAGCACAACATTACGATGTGGTGATATTTTACAAGCCTCAAAAATAGAATCATAGAAACATAAAATCATCTCAGTAAAATGGCACCATCCTGGAACAAGCATGTTGCAGAAGACCCTCCTATGACTACCAGTATCTCCCTCTAGTTCTGTAGTGACTTGATGTGATGCAGAGCCTTTTTGGCCAAGCAAAGGAGAGAAGTGCCTTGCACTGACCCACCAGCAGCTTTGGGTGATTAAGAAAGTGGTGTTGCCCTATCCTGAGCTGGAAGGATGCTGGTTATGACTTTTTAAAAGTGGAGGAGGTTATGACTTTTTAAACTCACCAATCATGCTAGATCCTGAAATTGGATAGGGGAGTTCCATACAATGTTGGAAGTTTGAGGTTTTTTTGTTTTGTTTTTTTTTTTGCTCCCTCCTGTAACCCAAATAGTTGATAAATATTTTGTCAGCAATAAACACTTTTCAAATGCCCTGACAAGTATTTAATGTTTACTCATTTTCTCAAACTAAGCAATGTATATGCTACAAGTGCTGTGGTAACTTTACCTATATGTAAAGATTTCAATGGTAACTGCTCTCTCTATTGGATAAAGAAGACTGAGCTGCCAATAGACTACAATAGGACCTAAATCAGGTGGTATGTGACTGTGTAACTATGAGTCCCACCAGACACATGAAGAAGCTAGTACCTCCATTCAACAGGGAAAATAACTTAAAATGGCTATCATTCAAGAGAGTACCTGCATATCTGAACCTCGTAGCCAAGTTCCATTGGGTCATTTGGAGCTGTTCCTCCTTGAAAATCGCTGACATTAAAAGAGGATAGCGTATGGTTCACGAAGCCATGCATGGTGCCATTCTCACTGTACATATACAGGTACACGAGGCGTGGAATGAAGTCAGATGTGAATGAGATCACAAATGCCTAAGCCATAAGAGTAAAGAATGAACGCAATATTCAGGTAATGTTTAGTGGATAATATACTCAAGTGCATCTTCCCCACATAATGCTTATGAATCGAAGAAATGGTATACAGTGGGCTGATTCAGACAATAAGTCTAAGTCTGCAGCCCATGGGATGCTAAGGATATGGAAACCTCATCAGTGTGATGTTTGCTGCTCAAGTTCCAGAGCTGCATGGTGTCAAGTATAAGTAGCTTCATGTTGGCTGAGATCTCTATGTAAATAACTTCAGCTCCCTGGGAAATCCAGATATTGTCCCCGTTTTCATTACTCGGTCACCCTTATGTAGCACAAAACCTCTATTCTTCGAATTCCACAAACACATGTACTAGTCCTGGACACACTACTTTTTCTGTTCCCACTTCAGCTCCCTCTCAACCCCTATCGCAAGCCCTCACATTCTGTGTTTAGGGTAGACAGAAAGAGAAGATTGCAGACTGAGCTTTGGGAGTTGAAGATGGGGGCTCCAAACAAATGACCTTGCAGAGACCCCAGATTTGTTTCAGCTGGCCCTGCATATCAGATAATAGCTGATCACAACAAAAAGGGAACAAGATCTCCTTGTAACAAAAGCTGCTAAAGATCACTACAACTTGATCAACCATGATCAGACCCAGACTCTAGAGTTTCTTAGACTTTGCAGAGTTTTTTTGTTTGTTTTTTTGTTTTGGTCTTTTGCTATTCTTAGATAAATGACTAGAATAAATAAATAGCAGGTATTTTTCTTTTTAAATACCAGTAATATTTCCAACCTTAAAGGTGTCTTAGATTTTACTGTGCTTTTCTGTTGTGTATTAATTATATTAATTCTGTGACTGTACAGAATAACTTGTGCAACATTGCTAAAAAGCAAAACACCATGCTATTCCCCTCTGCTCCAATTACAACTGGTCCCAGATGGATTGTATAAGCTCTGATTGATTGCTCTGGATGTACTTTTATGTGCTGCAAATAACTTATGGTGAACCAACTCTTTAAATGCCCTCTGCTTTGCAAAAATCTGTTAATTTTAATGAGGTTTTTAACTAGATCAAGATAAAACAGCAAGCATGTTGGGCCAGATGCCTTTTTACAGTCACTAAAATTTCTTATTCTCCTCAGGTTTTATAAATAAGCGTGATATACAGAGTGCAAGGACAGACAATTTAGTTGTGTTCTCAATAGGTTTGGCTTTTCTCATTTATTGCTATCATGAAAGACTGTAATTTGCGTGCAGCTCATGTATGTGCAGTACAAAAAGTTTGACTTATGCTATGATAGAAAACAGAGAGTAGATTGATTAAGGTAAGGAGAACAACAGTGGTTAATGCCTGAAGAGATTGCAGGGAGGAATGTGGGAGAATAGGAAGATTTTCTAAGGCAAAAGAGGAGAAGCAGAAAAGATGAGAAAGGGGAAATTAAAGGCAGAACACCAAAATATAAGACTGATTGGGAACTAGCTCTGCCAACAATTCTGGGTGCTGCCTCTGAGACTTCCCTGCTTGGAAATAAGGGCTTGATCCAAAGTCCTCTGAAGTCAGTGGAAGTCCTTGCATTGATTTCAATGGGTTTTGGATCAGTCTTCAGTGAGAAATCACTTCCCAAGTTACTGAGGTGCATGGTGGAGCTAACCTGCTTGGAGGGAGGGTGATGGGCTATATGCTCTTTGCTATCCTGAGGACCACTTCTGAGTGGCCTCTCATCTTCTCCTTCCAGTTGGAAGAAGACTCCACAGTGACAACTGTCCAGGAGCTAGAGAGGGAGCTTAAAAGTAGAGCTGTGCAAATAATAGATTTGTTTAGTTTTCTGTCAAGTCTGAAAATTCAAGAAAACAATAATTTTGAGTTGACCAGAAAATGAAAATTTTCAAAACTTTTAGTGAATAGAAAAGTTAAAAAAATTCATTTTGGGTCACACAAAATGTTTTGTTCTACTCAAAACAAAAGGCTCCATTTTGATTTTGATTCTTTTTCTTTTTTAATTTTTACAAAACGAAATTCAAGGTAATTTCAAAATAAAAAGTCATTTTGAATCAAAATGTTTAATTTGAAATGTTGAAATGAAACATTTTTACTTTTTCAGAATTTTTTGTAGGCTATTTCTTTTTGACCAAAGCAATTCAACAAAATCTATACAAATTTGCACAGTGTTTCAGTTGACCCAAATCTGCATTTTTTCCTGAAAAAAATTTTGGTTGAAAGATTTCATCCGGATCTATTTATAAGATAATGTAAGGGGAAATCACATCCTTAGAACTTAAGGCTGGGAGAAAACCAGAGACTCCACAGATGCATGGTATTCAAGACAAGCCACGCCACATGTCCAGCATTGTCTCCTCTCTTGTTGTTTCTAGACCCTCTTTTCACCTTGTTTGTAACTTTGACACAGATCTAACTTTTGGTGGGTGTGAAGGGACTATGAGATGAAATAGTGTTTGTTTGTGTACCACATGGAATACACCCCCACAGAAAAATGTGTAAATGTAAACAAAAGTCAGAGCTATTCTACTGTTTTAACCCCAGTATAAAAGTTTTCTGAAGACTCAAATGATCCAAAGCAGTCTGATTATATGACACATCGAAGTAGTCTTGCATGTTTTCCTAAGGGCCTAGTCTGCACTCATTGAAGTGAATGAAAACATTCTTATTAATTTCCGTAGTTGCACAGAGTCCTAAAGACATGGATCATATCCCATCTTCCTAATATGAACACATCATATGAACACATCAGATCCCCAGGTGGTGTAAACTGAATGCAGTCAAGCTAAACTGACGTGCACCAGGTGAAGATCTGGCCCAGTATGTGTAGAGGGGTAACAGGTTTTTTAAATTAGCATTTGTTTAAAAATGTGGTCAAGGAAAGATACTTACAAAATATCTAGACCACTAGGAAGCAAGCCTAGTTTAAGGTCAGCAGATGCAGTAAAAATAGTCTGGAAAAAGATGCCAAGGCTACCACTGATTATGTTTACTATGGCTTTTATTGCCAACTAGCCTTTAGTACTGAACCTTTTAATTTTGCAAGTTTTTATAATGCATAAATAATATATGATACGCTGTGACAATGTAAAACTAAACCCTGGACCTGATTCTCTAGTTGATGAGCTTCTTTAAATCATGTGACTCCACTGACTTCAGTGGAAATTAGTTAGAAGAAAACCAGTGTAATGGAGTGGAGAATCAGGCCCATTGCATTCAAATTTTACTGACAAAGAATTACTTACATTTATTATTACAGCAAGTTTTCCTACACCTCTGAGGATATTATACCAGATTCCTATGGGAAAGACAAACATGGTGGTAAATGCTTTCAGATTGTTAAACTTATCGTTGTTAACTGAAAATATCATGTATCTGCCACGTCTCGTGATTGCACATCACTACAGCTTTATTTAGTTTGTAACAAACTTTATTTAGTTTGTCTTCAGTTTGTAACAAACCCTATTTCAGACAACAGAAACCAACAGGAGCCTAAAATATGGCTCCATACATCCATATTTAGACACCTGCCTCATTTTTAAAAGCACCTGAGCCAGCCACTCTTTTGCGGGGGAGAGGGGGGAGAGAAAGGCAAGGTTACTGCAAAATGGAAGAAAGTAGCCAGTATATAAGCAAAAAAACATGAAGCTTGATCAAATGGGCCCAAATAATTTTCTGTAGGAAGGAGGAAAAAATGACACATGGGGAACTAGAATCTCAACAGAAGATCCCTTTGCAGAATATATTGCTCTGTTGAGAGTACCAATCTTAAGGGATCTGTCATAAACTAGGGCTTTCCACATGGATGCCTTATTTCTTTGCATTGCCTCTGCCCTCCTCACCAGCAGCATGGTTCTAATGAAGCCACTCTGGTAAGGTTTCTCCTTGCTGCTCACTTCACTGTATCTGGGAACCCCTGAGCATGGTTTCTGCAGTATGGAGGCTGTGCATGCAAAAGATATACTGACAGCATATTAACTTAGTATCAACCGTGGGGGTGTGCTGGAAGGACGATGCACAAAGATCACCCAGTCCCACTGTGCAGTCTCTCCTTATATTCTGTGGTGTCTTGGTATAACACACTGATTTTGTGTATATGATAACGCACCCAACCAGCAACTGTCCCCTTAGGACTGTAACAACCTTCTGGTTACTAATCACAGCTAAAAGAGTTCTCCTTTAGCTCAAGTTCTAGGGGCCTGTGGTTTTGGTGCTGAATGTCCCAGGTTTGATTTTGCCAATGACTCTGGTATCTAGATGTATAAGGTCACAGTTCCATGACAAAACAGCACCCCAGCTGGGACTTGAGCTTCTGTAGCCCTTAGACACTCAAGATGAATTTGTCTAACATCTACTGGTTTGGTGCGTGTTTACTATACATAAAGTTTCCAGGGACTAGTACTTTGTAACCTAGAGAATCCTATGTAATTAAGATAAACCCTGAGCAACTAATAAGCACAGGGGTGCTGGAACAAATTGTATAGCGAGGCTCCTGAGAGGCATTGAATCAAACTTTAAATCATGTATATGATAGAAACCACTTCAAGTCAGGTAGTGCAGCAGCACCCTCAGCACCTCTAGTTCTAGCATCTGTGAATAAACAGACGGTCAACTCCACCTTTCTCATCATTTATTTTGAATCTGGTCATTGTTAGTATATCTCTTTTTAGCAACAGTGACTTAATTCGTGTTTCAGAAAAACTAAGGGAGCAGACAAAAGCATCTGTTTTTCCAGCAGAGTTGTAACAGAATCAGATATAGGGCCTTTTTCTGCTCATGTTTAAAGGCCAATCTTGGGCTGTGTACCAGTTGTGCTTGGTGAAGAGCTGATTGTGGGGAGCAGGAGTAGGCCCCTGGTCACTGCCAGTGATTGCATAGGATTTCTGTTATCTAGATTTAGAACATCCCCTCTCATTATGCATGCTTCTCCTTTCTGTCTGTTGATTCCTGTCTCAAGCCTTATGTGGTTTTCTTCATGACAAGGTGATATTTTGGCCCTGTGGAACCTTGGCAGAAATTCATTTTAATCTGAAATTCTCCTCAAATATCTCACTAGAACTGAATTACAATACACAGACATTTTAAAAACACAGCAGTTGCTGAAGAAGCCAGGGAACTCACACAAACTACAGAAAAAAGGATGTGATGGTGATGGCAACAATTTGACAAAAGGAAAGGAAAAGACCACAGAAACAACCCTTCATGTGTCCTTCAATACCTAGGCACAGTGGGGAGCATTCAGAAATGCCCCAGAACTGTGGAACATATTGTATGGTAATTAACCGTAGATTTTCTTTGCTCAGATTGACTATACTATAACGTGAATAATTCTTTTCATTGAGTTTTCTGTTTGTGAATTTCCAGTATCCCAATTAACTGGTAATGAGGGAAAATAGCTTGCAGGGGCAAATCCATCTCTCATCACCTCTGCCGTCAAGAGATCCCTCAGGTAGCAGACCTGGTTCTGTGCTTCTATGCAATTGTAGGACCTGGTTTCAGCCAGATCCACTGCTGTTTCTAGCCTTCAATGTCCCAGAATTCATACTGGCCAGGAAGGAAGCAGCTGAAATAACTCCCACATGTTTCAACAGTCACTCAGTCTCCCCTTTGCCCCTATGTATCTCCCCTGCCCAGCTGAGGATCTGGAGTTTTTAATGCAGAAGCTTTTGTTTCCGCAATAAAACTTGCATGGCCAGGAAGAACTATTGATGTGGAAAACCATGCACTGTATCTCATTGTTTTATTGATCATTCCTGATCCTCAGATGTTTTATGCTAACTTAATAAAATATTAATCTGAATTTAAAACACTGCTCTTAATATTTTAAAAGTAAAGCTTTGATAAGTTATGACAATTCACAGCTAAGTTACACTCTAATGTTTTCAATTGTACTATAAAGATCTTCCTGTTAATTAACCCAACTCAGCATAAAAAAATTCCTGCCATCAATCAATAAATAAAAAAGGAGTAACATTATCTCATGACTAGGCTATTTGGTAATCTACTAGGCTATTTGGTAATCTACTTACCTATATCTTTTGCTCTGACTGCAACTGGTCTTCTAAGCTCAGTGACAAATTTCTTTGCATCTAAACGTATTTCAATGATGTTGTTCAACAACGCAAACAAAGGAGCCAGCGGGAAGGATGCAACAAACAAGGTTACAAATCCAAACTGGATAACTGAAAAGAGAAACTGTTTCACTGAGAGTGCTCTGCAATTATGAACTGTGCTTTGGTGTGTTACAACAAATTAATGCTTCCCCCGTAAATGTTTCTACAAACCCTAACAACATAGAGAGACTTGCTAGTTATACCTCACACAAATTTCAATATGTAGTTGATTAATTGGTACTTCATCCAAGCATAAAGAGCCATAAGTCCCTGTTCTGATAGTTTGTGCTGGTCAGGCAAAACAACCACAAAGATGCCCTAAAGGGGCAGCTGGGAATTCTTTTGACATAATTAAATCCCCTGAGTGGTGCAAAGATGGTTTAGCCAGGTTTAGGCCACCTGCTCCCCATCTGAATAGGAAGCATGTCAGAGGCGGGGAGGAGTCATGCTGGGAGTGGGGCTGGAATGTACCACACTTCAATCAGCCCTGGAATGGTGCTTATGAGACTGCAGCAACCAGCATAATGCAGAGCAATCCTTAGCATCCTCCAGAATGAGGGGAATGGAAAGGTGGATTACAGCTACCTGTTCCCTGCTCCTTCAACAGCAGTAAGCTGACACTCTATGCTTAAATTAAGTACTAATTAATCAGTTACTAATAGGGCTGACAAGTGATTAAAAATTAATTGCTATTATTCGCACTGTTAATAATAGAATACCATTTATTTAAATATTTTTGGATGTTTTCTACATTTTCAAATATACTGATTTTAATTACAACAAAATACAAAGTGTACAGTGCTCACTTAAAATTTATTTTTTATTACAAGCATTTGTACTGTAAAAAAACAAAATAGTGTTTTTCAATTCACCTAATACAAATACTGTAGTGCAATTTCTTTATCATGAAAGTTGAATGTACAAATGTAGAATTATGTACAAAAAACTTGCATTCAAAAATAAAACAATGTAAAATTTTAGAGCCTGCAGGTCCATTCAGTCCCACTTCTTTTTCAGCCAATCAAGTTTGTTTACATTTGCAAGAGATAATGCTACCCGCTTCTTGTTTATAATGTCACCTGAAAGTGAGAACAGGTGTTCTCATGGCACTGTTGTAGCTGGCATCGCAAGAGATTTACGTGCCAGATGCTCTAAAGATTCACATGTCCCTTCATGCTTCAACCACCATTCTAGGGGACATGCGTCCATGCTGATGACAGGTTCTGCTCGATAATGATCCAAAGCAGTGCGGACTGACGCATGTTCATTTTCATTATCTGAGTCAGATGCCACCAGCAGAAGGTTGATTTTCTTTTTTGGTGGTTTGGGTTCTGTAGTTTCCGCATTGGAGTGTTGCTCTTTTAAGACTTCTGAAAGCATGCTCCACACCTCATCCCTCTCAGATTTTGGAAGGCACTTCAGATTCTTAAATCTTGGGTCAAGTGCTGTAGTTATCTTTAGAAATCTCACACTGATACCTTCTTTGCATTTTGTGAAATCTGCAGTGAAAGTGTTCTTAAAATGAACAACATGTGTTGGGTCATCATCCGAGACTGCTATAAACGTGAAATATATGGCAGAATGCGGGTAAAACAGAGCAGGGGACATGCAATTCTCCCCCAAGGTGCTCAGTCAGAAATTTAATTAACGCTTATTTTTTTTTAGTGAGCATCATCAGTATGAAAGCATGTCCTCTGGAATGGTGCCCGAAGCATGAAGGGGCATACGAATGTTTAGCATATCTGGAACATAAATACCTTGCTATGCTGGCTACAAAAGTGCCATGCAAATGCCTATTCTCACTTTCTGGTGACATTGTAAATAAAGAAGAGGGCAGCATTATCTCCATTAAAGGCAAACAAAGTTGTTTGTCTTAGCAATTGGTGGAACAAGAAGTAAGACTGAATGGACTTGTAGGTTCTGAAGTTTTACATTGTTTTGTTTTTGACTGCAGTTATGTAACAAAAAAAATCTACATTTGTAAGTTGCACTTTCAGGACGAAGAGATTGCACTATGGTACTTGTATGAGGTGAATTGAAAAATACAATTTCTTTTGTTTATCATTTTTACAGTGCAAATATTTGTAAGCAAAAATAATATATACTTTGATTTCAGTTACAACACAGAATACAATATGTATGAAAATGTTGAAAAACATCCACAAAATTTAATAAACTTTGGTGGGTATTCTATTATTTAACAGTGCAATTGAGTTAATTGCATGAGTTAACTGTGATTAATCAACAGCCCTAATTACTAAATAACAATTTGTGTGTGATCTGTGTGAGATTGCTGGAGTATCTGTGAGGATTTAGCCCAGAATTCAGGAAACAGGGCCAAATTTTATGCTCTCTTAAACCAGAATTAACTCTACTAACTTCAGTGGAGTTATTGCTGGTGTACAGGGGTGCAACTGAGAGCAAAATTTGTCTCTTGGAGCCAAATGTAAATGGAGCTATAAATATAGTATATTTCAAACTGTGTGTTAAACTGTAACAAAGATCAACAGATAACACCTGGTATTTCAGTACTGTATCGAGGTATCTGGAACCATGGCTGTCAGCTATTACCACAAACATATGGTATGGAAGATAGAAGCCAGCCCTTTTCCACTTGAGCTGTTGTTATAGGGCTCTTTTATCTTCTCTAGGTTAGCCACTCTAGGACAGTGGTATACATACACACACACAGGCATTATGCCATACCATATGAACCAGTTAGTCACCTGTAGCAGCCAGCAGGGTTTCAGTTACTGCCAGGGGGGACATTTTTATAAAGTAATGTAACATGAATCATATCTGCTAGTTCAAAGAACTCAACTCACCATCTCCACAGTTATAGTCATTACAGTTTAAACTTAATTATTTTCCACTTCACTCACTCATTTCCATGTATTCTGGAGTAAGCCCAGCAAAAGGTTCCAAGTTATAGTCCACTTCATAGCGTTGTTTTTTTTTCGTATGCTCCTCATGATCTAAAGAGCGTTGTTGCTTTAATTTGATATATCTGATTAATTTCTTCATTTTTCTGGAAGAAAAAAAATGATCAGCTTAGCAGGTCTTTTTCCCCATTAAAAAAGCACCCCCTGTTTGGATGGTTCAGGAATGACAGTTAAATTCATGCTAATAGACACAAAAAAAGCCTTATATCATCAGTTTTCATAATCTGTACAAAAACTGTGTAAAAGCCAAAGGTAAAGACAAGCAATTAGGGATCAGCACTCACTGATATTCAAATCTGGTAACAACTGAACCAAATACTGAACATCAAACTCAGCAGTAAAGAGTATAAAATCAATAGTCTAACACTTTTCAAAGAAGTCCGCATGTTACAAAAATGCATGAGGAGTTTGAAAATGCTATGGGGTACAAAGGCACAGCTATATTGCAGGCATAGTCTTGCTGTAAAGATTTCTTGCACGAGGACTATAAACCAAAAGAAGCCAGATGTTTGCATCATAAAAGGTTGATATGCAGTGTACTTTACGTATGGTATAAAATGAAGGTAACTATATTACTTACGGGATACCAATCTCAAAGAGATTATTCTGAATCAGCTGTTTGCCCAACATGATAATACTAAGCTGGATGCACAATTCCATTAAGCAACCACCAGGGGCACACTAAAGCCAAGAAAGGAGATTAAGTCAGCATTTTTGCCAAATCATTTGATCGTGAATTCACTGTTATTTTCTTGATCAATGATGAATATGCACAAGATAAATTGCAATTACCTCTTCCATTCGGAAAGAATGAAAAATGTAGACATAATCTCCTGGACGTCCAACAAATCTAGGATAGTTTGGAAACAATGGTTAGAATTATATTCTACCTTTTTATACATCTGATCCTGCAGTCCTTCATGTAAAATAGCTAATTCTTTGAATGAGAGTTACACATGCCCAAGGACTTTAGGATCAGTTAATAATTTGTCATCACATAGTAAAGTTCAGAAAGGACAATTTTAGGTACTTGTGTTTGGAATATTTTATTTTTTAAATGTTAATTGGTGAATTAGTTAAATTATAAAGTTTTTTCCAAGTTTCCTCTATACATCCTAAGTATTACAGACACATATCTGCAAACTTATTTTAAAAGTACATCTAACAAAGAAAAATAAACGAATTTTAGTTAAAATGAGATAACATGAGGAGATGAGAAAGAGAAATGGGAAGTCAAGTAAGGGGACAATACCAGGAGAGAGAGAGAGACAGATAAATTCTATGGATCACACTTTAGATGTCTTTAGATGTATCTTTAGATGTATGTAAGACTCCCAGTACTAGCTGCACACTGAGACTCAACCAGAACATGTCCCTACAAAAATAATCTCAGAGTAACAGCTGAAATTTTAAACTATATGTCTAGGTTACTCACCGGCCTTTGAAGAAAGCAACATAGAAAATGGGAGTGTAGGCATTGACAAATTTCAGAAGGAAGGCCTTGAAGATCAGCCGCTCTTCAAAACTCTTGTCTGTTTTGGGGACCTCTGAAGTAAACAAGACACACATAAAGGAAACTTCTGGACTGGAAAGTGTTAAGGGTTTATGAAGTTGGGACTTTGGAAAACTCCCTAATGTAATCCAAACAACTATTCCCTTAAGGACATATGAACATATTTAAATGGAGGTGCAGAAACCTGATCCCACTGAAGGCAATGACCAATGGGAAAAGAAATAAGCCACACATATAACTTATTCTGATCTACTTAATATATGTGAGGTTTTTAAAAAACAACAACAAAAGAGCATAACAAAACAGGAGGGCTGTCCTCAAGTGAAGTCCATGGGAGCTGCTTCCATGTATTGATGGCAGAACTGCACATTTAAACAAACAGCTATGGCAGGGGAAGATAAGAAAATTGATTAGAGAAAAAAGAAAGGTAATTTGGGTGACCTACTTTACAGTATTTCTCAAACAATAGGGCCAATTTGATAACAACTCTGTGTCTGGAACTCCCATGAATCTCACTTGCAATAAGAATATCCAAACTATTTGTGTCTGTAAAATTAGTATGGATCTAGCATAAAACAGGAGATTGGATAAAATTTCTGGCCCTTCTGCTTCTGGTCCTGTCTGAAAATAGCACAAGAAAATTAGTTCTACAGTGTTTTGGCACATCTTTTTTCCATGTCTTTATATTTTTCTGTGCTAAATAAATAATGATTGGAAGTGAAAAAAAGAAAGAAAGAAAGAAAAGAAAAGAAAAAGTATCTGTACATTACCAAACCTTAGAAAGACCCAAAATAATTTGCATCCCCAAAATAAGTTATGACTGGGCACAAGAGTTTTAATTTATCCGGATCCATTTTGCCCACTCATAATTGGAGCAATAGCAGCAGAGAGAAAAAGCAGCTAAAAATAAAACCAATTTCATGCGCCCTTTGATGTTTTTTCTTTAAGCTAAGGAGATAGAATTGCAGCCTTATGGTTGAATTTCCTGTTTTTGCTTATTTGTCTGAAGTTAGAAAATGATGCCATGTAAATAAGTAGTTTTTGTACTTTATAAAATAACTGATCTAATAGAACTGACAATGATTTATACCTACCAATCTGAGTTAGCCACCTGGCTATGCAGCCATATACTTCATCCAGGATGATGATCACCACCAGATTAATAATAACTGCAGTTGCAGTGACTGTTACTCTAACACTAGACCGGCCAGAGGGAGTTGAGCTGAGGGCTAAGGCTGCTGCAGTGGAGATTCTGTATATAATGACTCCAAACACGATAGCAAATGTCAGTCCAACCTGGGAATAAAAGGTGGCATTATCTGTTATAAAACACCAGACTGTCATTCATCAGCAAGCAGATTGAACTCTGAAATGCCTCCCATGTACTCCCTGGGCCTGATCCCAATCCCACTGATATCACTGAAAGGACTCTTATTGACTTCAATTGGCTCTGGCACAGATCCTCTGTTCCTAGCACTTTGATCATAACAGTAATTTTATATAATGGTGTTAGCATTTAATAAAAAGAAAGCTAAATGCAAATGCTAGAGGTATAGTTTATATTAATATTAATGCACTTCACTTTTAATTGATGCTCATAACATAATGGATATGTGGTAAGTGGCTTGTTATAAAGGAAAATCCAGGAATGAATGTGGCCTGTAGATATGAAGAGGAGAATATTTCTGAGAGTGATATGGCTTCGCTTTTCTTTGTGTCTAAACTTCTGAATGTCCTTCTGAGACCTCCAATTTTGTGAGAGTTCAAAGATTAAACTAAAAGTAATGGTGCTGCAGATCAACTACATATTATTACAAGAGCATAATAAAACCCAGAAAAATATAGCTGACTCCTGAAAGATTTGGGAAAAAAGCCATGCTTAAATGGAAGAGTATATTAAGAACATGATCCTGTAAGATACTGAGCACTTTCCTGAGAAGCTCCCACTGAAATCAAAGGATGCACTCAGAACCTCTCAGGATTGGGCCTTAAGAGGACTTCAGGAACATATTTCTGTCCTCTGATCCCAAATGGTGCAGGCCCACCCGTTTGGAATAAAGAATTAAAACACTGAACTATGGGCTATTCTACATGTAGGCCTAGATCATTGTTCCCAGACTCAAACATCTCCATGAGTTCTTTGTTTTACCTCCAATGCAGAAGTGGGGGGTCAGCTACCTGTGTAGCACCTCTGCCCCCTCGGAGGCCATTCTATCGGTCTACACACTGGAATAGGGGGCAGCAACTGGATAGGCCAAGTATAGACTAGGGCCTAGGACAATTTTGTCCTTCCTCATCTTCACAGACATTCCCAGGAAGAGATAATATAGCCTAGGGCCTATATTATCTTTTCCACTGAGAGTCTCTTTTCTCTTGCTCATACACACACACACTAAGGCAGAGGACAGATAAGGCCAGAGGGAATCCCTGATAATGAGGCTGTAATGGAGCTGTGCTGCTAAGGAGCTGAGAGGCTGGTAGCCACCAGGATCAGAACTGGCATGGAAGCACATGGTCTCCATTTGAATGCCCTTGGCCTCCCTTAGAGTATCCAGATTTGGAGACCCCAGGGCTTATTCCATGGAGACAATTTCATGAAACAATTAGTTAAGAACTCTGGAGTGGGGATCCCCAGCCACCTGTCCTGCAGTTATTACCATGAGAAGGGACAATCTGAGTCATAATAACTACAGCAATTTTCTGCCCATCTTCTGAATTACAGACCCTGTGTTACATGTAACTGGTGAACTTTGATTGCTCTGACTCAGATGTAAGAGAAGACACACTCAGTTTGGAACCTGTAATCCAAAAGAACCCATGACTGACAAACTCTCCAAAGCAGACTGCGTGTGGTAAATTACCATCTGTCATAAATATAAAGGGAAGGGTAAACCCCTTTGAAATCCCTCCTGGCCAGGGGAAAGCTCCTCTCACCTGTAAAGGGTTAAGAAGCTAAAGGTAACCTCGCTGGCACCTGACCAAAATGACCAATGAGGAGACAAGATACTTTCAAAAGCTGGGAGGAGGGAGACAAACAAAGGGTTTGGGTCTGTCTGTGTGCTGCTCTTGCCAGAGACAGAACAGGAATGGAGTCTTAGAACTTTTAGTAAGTAATCTAGCTAGGTATGTGTTAGATTATGATTTCTTTAAATGGCTGAGAAAAGCATTGTGCTGAATAGAATAACTATTTCTGTCTGTGTATCTTTTTTGTAACTTAAGGTTTTGCCTAGAGGGGTTCTCTATGTTTTTGAATCTAATTACCCTGTAAGATATCTACCATCCTGATTTTACAGGGGGGATTTCTTTATTTCTATTTACTTCTTGTAAAAACTGAATGCTTTTTCATTGTTCTCAGATCCAAGGGTTTGGGTCTGTGGTCACCTATGCAAATTGGTGAGGCTTTTTATCCAACATTTCCCCAGGAAAGGGGGGGTGCAAGTGTTGGGAGGATTGTTCATTGTTCTTAAGATCCAAGGGTCTGGGTCTGTAGTCACCTAGGCAAATTGGTGAGGCTTTTTACCAAACCTTGTCCAGGAAGTGGGGTGCAAGGTTTTGGGAAGTATTTTGGGGGGAAAGACGCGTCCAAACAGCTCTTCCCCAGTAACCAGTATTAGTTTGGTGGTGGTAGCGGCCATTCCAAGGATAACGGGTGTAATATTTTGTACCTTGGGGAAGTTTTGACCTAAGCTGGTAAAGATAAGCTTAGGAGGTTTTTCATGCAGGTCCCCACATCTGTACCCTAGAGTTCAGAGTGGGGGAGGAACCTTGACATGGTGGCACAGTGGTGGGATTAACCTGAAATCATTTGAGATCCAGTTGAGATTTTTTGAACTAGAAATACAGATTTTAAAAAGGAAAATTTTTTTTTCTTTGGAAAGAAAGTCCAGAAAGCAGCTTTGAAACTGAAAGCAGCTTGGTTTCTCTCTGCTTTGTGGCCAAGCAGAGACAAAAGGGGATTATCTTGTGAATTGCAGGTTTTTTTTGCCTGGAGGCAGGGTACTTAACTCCTGCAGGGAAATCTTCCAATCCAGAGGTTTTTTTTTTCTTTTCTTCCTAAAAGTAAATAGGGGGTGTGTGTTCTACCCATTTGCTTTTTCTTTGGGCTGGGTAAGCAGGTTTCCAAGTAGTTGGAGGTTTTTTGCTTTAATTTGGGCCCAGAGCAGAGACAAGGGAATTGTCTTTTTCTGTAGGCTGACAATCACTATCAGAGAATAGGTATTCTATTGCAGCACAGCAAAATTTTACAGCCAAGTTTTGTTTGTTTATTTCTAAACCTCAGGTGTAAAGTTAGTTAAAAACAGAGAGGTTAGAATGACCAAATCCTCAGCTCAACTACAGCTGGAATTAGCCAAATTTCAGGCTGAGGAAAGACAAAGGGAACATGAAAGACAGATAGAACTCATGCGGCTGGAGAAGGAGGTACAGGAGGCTGCCCACAAGAGGGAAATGGAGGCAAGGAAGCATGTGGAGGAGGAGAAGGAAAAAGAGAGGAAGCATGTGGAGGAGGAGAAGGAAAAAGAGAGGAAGCATGTGGAGGAGGTGGAGAGGATAAAGGCCCAGCAGAATATACCAACAAACCCTAGCAATCCTTCTCCAGGTACCACTTCCCATCCCAGAAAGTTCCCCACCTACAAGGCAGGTGAAGATACTGAGGCCTTCCTAGAAAACTTCGAAAGGGCCTGCCTTGGGTACAACATCTCTACTGACCAATACATGGTAGAGCTGAGGCCGCAGCTCAGTGGACCCTTAGCTGAGGTGGCAGCTGAAATGCCTAAAGAACACATGAACAAGTATGAACTGTTTAAATCCAAGGCGAGAGTCAGAATGGGGATAACACCCGAGCAGTCTCGTCGGAGGTTCAGAGCCCTAAGGTGGAAACCAGACATGTCATTTACCCGACATGCCTACCACATTGTGAAACATTGGGATGCCTGGATATCAGGAGCAAGTGTTGAATCTCCAGTAAATTTGCCCTTCCTAATGCAAATGGAACAATTCTTAGAGGGTGTTCCTGAGGAAATAGAAAGATACATCCTAGACGGGAAGCCCAAAACTGTAATTGAGGCAGGAGAGATTGGAGCCAGATGGGTGGAGGTGGCAGAGAAGAAGAAAACTGGTCGCAGTTGGAGCGGAGACCAGAAGGGACCACCCCAGACCACACCTTATTACCGGGGGCCGCCCAAAGCCCCACCTACCTCCCAAAGAACCCTCCAGACCCCTTATCGTCCCACAACCCCGTTCTCCAGCAACCCTCCTCGCCCCAGTGACCCATCAGCTGGACGATGTTTTAAATGTAACGAGCTGGGGCATGTAAAGGCCAACTGCCCCAAGAACCCCAACAGATTACAGTTCATTGCACCGGAATCACACCAGAGGTCCACAGGCCCAGATACCCTTGGAGCGGAGGGAAACTGTGAGTGTGGGCGGGAAGAAGGTCACCGCGTGGAGGGACACCGGAGCACAAGTGTCAGCTATCCATGCTTCCTTAGTGGACCCCAATTTAATCAACCCAGAGATCCAAGTGACGATTCAACCCTTCAAGTCCAACTCTTTCAATTTGCCTACAGCCAAGTTGCCTGTCCAGTACAAGGGCTGGTCAGGAATGTGGACTTTTGCAGTCTATGATGATTATCCCATCCCCATGCTGTTGGGGGAAGACTTGGCCAATCATGTGAAACAGGCCAAGAGGGTGGGAACGGTCACCCGCAGCCAGGCGAAACAAGCCGTGAGGCCTAGCTCTGTTCCGGAAACTTCTATCAGGACCCGGTCAGAGGTGATGGACCTGGACCCCAGGCCAATGTCTGCAACAGCAGTAGTGGATCCAGTCCCAGAGACCCAGACGGAACCAGTCCTAGAACCGGAACCAGCCGAACAACCAACACCAGACCCCGTGTCAGCACTGAATCCAGTACTTGCAACCTCAACACCAGAGGGCCCCACCGAACCTGAACTGGCAGCAGCCGATAACCCGACCCAAGAGGCTCAGCCGGAGCCTGAATCCCAACATAGTGCACCAGCGGAGAGCGGTTCACAGTCAACAGAAACAGCTCCATCCCCTATATCGCTTCCAGAGGGACCAAGCCTAGGTCCACAATCCCATGAGGAACTGATGTCTCCAGCATCAAGGGAACAGTTCCAGACCGAACAGGAAGCAGATGAAAGCCTCCAAAGAGCTTGGACGGCGGCACGGAGCAACCCACCGCCTCTCAGCTCTTCTAATCGATCCAGGTTTGTTGTAGAAAGAGGACTTTTATACAAGGAAACTCTTTCTGGGGGACACCAGAAAGACTGGCATCCTCAGAAACAGTTGGTAGTTCCAACTAAATACCGGGCCAAGCTCTTGAGCTTAGCCCACGATCACCCTAGTGGCCATGCTGGGGTGAACAGGACCAAAGACCGTTTGGGGGGGTCATTCCACTGGGAGGGAATGGGCAAGGATGTTTCTACCTATGTCCAGTCTTGTGAGGTGTGCCAAAGAGTGGGAAAACCCCAAGACCAGGTCAAAGCCCCTCTACAACCCCTCCCCATCATTGAAGTTCCATTTCAGCGAGTAGCTGTGGATATTCTGGGTCCTTTTCCGAAAAAGACACCCAGAGGAAAGCAGTACATACTGACTTTCATGGATTTTGCCACCCGATGGCCAGAAGCAGTAGCTCTAAGCAACACCAGGGCTAAAAGTGTGTGCCAGGCACTAGCAGACATTTTTGCCAGGGTAGGTTGGCCCTCCGACATCCTCACAGATGCAGGGACTAATTTCCTGGCAGGAACTATGAAAAACCTTTGGGAAGCTCATGGGGTAAATCACTTGGTTGCCACTCCTTACCACCATCAAACAAATGGCATGGTGGAGAAGTTTAATGGAACTTTGGGGGCCATGATACGTAAATTTGTAAATGAGCACTCCAATGATTGGGACCTAGTGTTGCAGCAGTTGCTCTTTGCCTACAGAGCTGTACCACATCCCAGTTTAGGGTTTTCCCCATTTGAACTTGTATATGGCCGTGAGGTTAAGGGGCCATTGCAGTTGGTGAAGCAGCAATGGGAGGGATTTACACCGTCTCCAGGAACTAACATTCTGGACTTTGTAACCAACCTACAAAACACTCTCCGAACCTCTTTAGCCCTTGCTAGAGAAAACTTACAGGATGCTCAAAAAGAGCAAAAAGCCTGGTATGATAAACATGCCAGAGAGCGTTCCTTCAAAGTAGGAGACCAGGTCATGGTCTTAAAGGCGCTCCAGGCCCATAAAATGGAAGCATCGTGGGAAGGGCCATTCATGGTCCAGGAGCGCCTGGGAGCTGTTAATTATCTCATAGCATTCCCCACCTCCAACCGAAAGCCTAAGGTGTACCATATTAATTCTCTAAAGCCCTTTTATTCCAGAGAATTAAAGGTTTGTCAGTTTACAGCCCAGGGAGGAGACGACGCTGAGTGGCCCAAAGGTGTCTACTATGAAGGAAAATGTGGTGGTGGTGTGGAAGAGGTGAACCTCTCCATAACCCTTGGGCGTATGCAGCGACAGCAGATCCAGGAGCTGTGCACTAGCTACGCGCCAACGTTCTCAGCCACCCCAGGACTGACTGAACGGGCATACCACTCCATTGACACAGGTAATGCTCACCCAATTAGGGTCCAACCTTACCGGGTGTCTCCTCAAGCTAAAACTGCTATAGAACGGGAGATCCAGGATATGTTACAGATGGGGGTAATCCGCCCCTCTGGCAGCGCATGGGCATCTCCAGTGGTTCTAGTTCCCAAACCAGATGGGGAAATACGTTTTTGCGTGGACTACCGTAAGCTAAATGCTGTAACTCGCCCAGACAACTATCCAATGCCACGCACAGATGAACTATTAGAGAAACTGGGACGGGCCCAGTTCATCTCTACCTTGGACTTAACCAAGGGGTACTGGCAGGTACCGCTAGATGAATCTGCCAAGGAAAGGTCAGCCTTCATCACACATCTCGGGCTGTATGAATTTAATGTACTCCCTTTCGGGCTGCGAAATGCACCCGCCACTTTCCAAAGACTTGTAGATGGTCTCCTAGCGGGATTAGGAGAATATGCAGTCGCCTACCTTGACGATGTGGCCATATTTTCGGATTCCTGGGCAGACCACCTGGAACATCTACAAAAAGTCCTTGAGCGCATAAGGGAGGCAGGACTAACTGTTAAGGCTAAGAAGTGTCAAATAGGCCTAAACAGAGTGACTTACCTTGGACACCAGGTGGGTCAAGGAACTATCAGCCCCCTACAGGCCAAAGTGGATGCTATCCAAAAGTGGCCTGTCCCAAAGTCAAAGAAACAGGTTCAAGCCTTCTTAGGCTTGGCCGGTTATTACAGACGATTTGTACTGCACTACAGCCAAATCGCTGCCCCACTGACAGACCTAACCAAAAAGAAACAGCCAAATGCTGTTCAGTGGACCGGAAAGTGTCAGAAGGCCTTTAACAAGCTTAAAGCGACACTCATGTCTGACCCTGTACTAAGGGCCCCAGACTTTGACAAACCGTTCCTAGTAACCACAGATGCGTCCGAGCGTGGTGTGGGAGCAGTTTTAATGCAGAAAGGACCTGATCAAGAATTCCACCCTGTAGTATTTCTCAGCAAAAAACTGTCTGAGAGGGAAAGCAACTGGTCAGTCACTGAAAAAGAATGTTACGCCATTGTCTACGCTCTGGAAAAGCTACGCCCATATGTTTGGGGACGGCGTTTCCACCTGCAAACCAACCATGCTGCACTGAAGTGGCTTCACCCCGTCAAAGAAACTAACAAAAAACTTCTTCGGTGGAGTTTAGCTCTCCAAGATTTTGATTTCGACATCCAACACATCTCAGGAGCTTCTAACAAAGTGGCTGATGCACTCTCCCGTGAAAGTTTCCCAGAGTCAACTGGTTAAAATCGTCCTTGAGATGTGGAAAATATTGTTAGTCTTTATGTACTTGGTAGTATATTTAGAGATGCATGTGTCTTATTAACTCTGTTTTTCCTAGAGCTCCAGGAAGAAATCCCAGCCAGTGTTTCACCCTAGCTGAGATTTGGGGGGCGTGTCATAAATATAAAGGGAAGGGTAAACCCCTTTGAAATCCCTCCTGGCCAGGGGAAAGCTCCTCTCACCTGTAAAGGGTTAAGAAGCTAAAGGTAACCTCGCTGGCACCTGACCAAAATGACCAATGAGGAGACAAGATACTTTCAAAAGCTGGGAGGAGGGAGACAAACAAAGGGTTTGGGTCTGTCTGTGTGCTGCTCTTGCCAGAGACAGAACAGGAATGGAGTCTTAGAACTTTTAGTAAGTAATCTAGCTAGGTATGTGTTAGATTATGATTTCTTTAAATGGCTGAGAAAAGCATTGTGCTGAATAGAATAACTATTTCTGTCTGTGTATCTTTTTTGTAACTTAAGGTTTTGCCTAGAGGGGTTCTCTATGTTTTTGAATCTAATTACCCTGTAAGATATCTACCATCCTGATTTTACAGGGGGGATTTCTTTATTTCTATTTACTTCTATTTTTTATTAAAAGTCTTCTTGTAAAAACTGAATGCTTTTTCATTGTTCTCAGATCCAAGGGTTTGGGTCTGTGGTCACCTATGCAAATTGGTGAGGCTTTTTATCCAACATTTCCTCAGGAAAGGGAGGGTGCAAGTGTTGGGAGGATTGTTCATTGTTCTTAAGATCCAAGGGTCTGGGTCTGTAGTCACCTAGGCAAATTGGTGAGGCTTTTTACCAAACCTTGTCCAGGAAGTGGGGTGCAAGGTTTTGGGAAGTATTTTGGGGGGAAAGACGCGTCCAAACAGCTCTTCCCCAGTAACCAGTATTAGTTTGGTGGTGGTAGCGGCCATTCCAAGGATAACGGGTGTAATATTTTGTACCTTGGGGAAGTTTTGACCTAAGCTGGTAAAGATAAGCTTAGGAGGTTTTTCATGCAGGTCCCCACATCTGTACCCTAGAGTTCAGAGTGGGGGAGGAACCTTGACACCATCCCTTTCAAAGCAGTGCATGGGAAGTGAACAGTTTTATAGAGAAATATCTCTTTTGTTTCCCAGTTCTCATTAAGGACACTATGAAAGAAAGACATACAAGCAAAACAAAAGTCAAGTACCACCTGAGCAAAGTGATTTTCAAATGATTTAAACTTTAAAGTGATCAAATAGTTTTTTCTCCTAGATAAAGATGTGTCCATTGTAAAAGGTGGATTTCACAATGACTCACTAAGGTGAATCTTAAATATTTGCCAGGAAATACTTACCATGAAGATAATGCCAACAAAATTGGTAAAATATGCTGGAAAACGATCTTTCCATGTCAGTTTCTCTTTATCAGTCTAAAATATGAAAAAAAAATCCACCCTGTAATTTAATACAGCATCTAAAAAGATCCCTTCTATTTGTTCTTGTAACAAAAACACCAAGGCACAGGAAAACAATCAAACACGCAACCAGTTAGAAGGTGGAAGGACACATGTTTAAAGATACAATTTTATACAGGTAAACTTCTTACAGCACATTTAGCTTCAGTTTGGTGCTAAGTCCTGCATTGTATAAATGAGTCTGAACAGCTTTTTTGAGAAACACACTCAAGTAAACTATTACACTGTGAAATTAGATTTCTCCTAGTGTAAATATTTTATTTTCCTTTCCCAGAAAAGATTTAAACTTTTTTTGTTAGAATATGTTTTCAATAAAGCACCATTAGGACTGTCCCTGCAAGCCTTACTCACATGAGGAATACTTAATCCTATAGGTTATCCCATTGCAATATAGATTGCTCACATGGGGAAGGCTGTTCAGGACTGGGCCCTTAGTGCAATGTTGCCAGGGTTGATTTTCCTTTGCTATGGATCTAATCCTGTGAACACCTAACTATGAGTAACTTTTACACACATGAATAATATTGATGCCAGCGAGACTACCCATGAGATAAGTTACTCACATGCAAAATCTCTGCAGGATCACACTTACTATATTTGATCACTCTATTAATTTTGATCACACAATCTATCTGGGAATGACAATCTCATTTAGAAAGTCATCTCTGATCTGATTTCATTTGTAAAGTTTGCAGCATGAGAGTGATTTCTTAAGAGCGGAAAGAAAATGTCAAAGGAAAGTAACATTAAAGAAGATGACACTACATTGTACTGAACAACAATATCTCATTCAAAGTTACATGCATGTTGTCTAATAGAACAGCAGGCAACTCTGTCAAACATGTGGCACATGCTTCATTACAAAAATGCAACATCCATTCAATATGGTAACCCAAAGATTAGCCATGCAGTGCCATCCCCACTACACGTAAACACAGTGTCTTTCTGGGTGCCGAAGAGAGGAGAAAATAACAACTGAACGTGAATATTAAACAAAGGTTCAACAACCAAAACAATCAATTTGTGTCTTCCATAATTACTCATAGTTTGAGTTTCTCCATAAATTTGAATGAAATGTACCAATTTCACCCCAGCCATGACTGCCTTAACTCTCTGTCTCCATTTGTTTGCTGTCTCTTCTGGCAAATGTCGACGCTTCTGATGGCAATCAAAGGAAAAAAAAAGGACCATGCGATACAACGTTACAAAGCATTGACTAACAATGCCAAATTAATCCACACTCTCTCTGCTGAGTAAGTACACAGTGCAATTTAGCAACAAGTACTTCATTAGTTTGCTCAATGATTTGTGTTCCAGCTTCAGGTTTATTAAAAAAAATAAAAATAAAACCAAAAAACCAACAACCCACTATCTGGAAGAAATCCCACTTTTAAAGGTGACCTGCAAAGAATTTACAAAATATCAGGCCCTTTTCTTCTTCTTTATGATGCATAAAGAAAGCCTGAAAGACTTCTCTTCTGAAAGTTTTTTTTTCATTTTGAGGTTTGGTCTGAGAAATATCAGGAATTTCAGGTCTGTTTTTTCCTGGTTTGACTGGCTTCCAAGAAGTCTCAGAAGGGATGTTTACTGCAAGCTTTAATACATTGGCACTTTACGCTGAAATTTACAGGAGTGAGACTTGTATTTCTAAAGTATTAAAAGTAGAAAGCCCCCCACTTTTGCTGGGGAAATAAAAACAACATATTCAGATCTTCTTTCTTCATCACAAAAAAGCTTCTTTTTTTTTAAAGTAATGCTGCATGTAAGATATTCCACACTGAAATTAAAACCCTTTCATATTAAAGAGGTTAAGCTTGAACATTTTCTGCTATAGTCTAACTAAAATGTATTTGAACCAGCTGATGCCATTGTTTAAGAATGGCCAAACTATACCTAAATGTCAGCATGTAAGAAAACAAAACAGACAAAATTAAAATAATTCCATCACTAAGTAGATAGGTGTCCATCACTAAGTAATCTAATTGTCATATGATAACTGGCTATAATAATAGGCGGCATTTACAGAATACCTTCTATCTTGAAGGATCCCAATGTGTCTTACAATCCAAATGTCTGCTATGCTGTACAAGCTACTCACAGGTATCACTTCATTCACCACTAAAATGCAGCCACCTCTGGGGTGACACGTAGCAACTGTTTAACCACAACACAACAAAAGAAGTTGGGACCAGAAGTGAAGGATACCTTATTCAGCTGAGATGGCAGGGGGATTATATTTAGAAATGTGGAAGGTTATTGCCCAAGCTGGAATCCAGCCAGGATATTGGGGTTAGTATTATTATTAATTATTTTAGTAACTATTTTATTAAATGCCATGGGATTTTTAAAAGCCACAAACATCTCAAGACCTAAGCGCAGAAAGCCAGATTCCAATCCAGTGGCTGAACATTTGTCTTTTAGATGCATTTTTAAATTTGTGAACAGTCCATTCCAATAGATACATACACCATAAAGAAGGAGAAAGCAAATCTTAATTTCCCAATGGAAAAGTAGGGAGGAAAATCCATCAGAGATGCTTACTGAGTTTTCCTCTTCCAGATACCTCTCCTGTGGGAAAATCTGCAGTAGGATATGAATCAGCATTCAGATTTTGCTCAGTTCTTATTCAGCCAAACTTTGATTGGAATAAGTAAAGGACCTCAAGGTTTGACCCAAACAATTAGGATGTTGTTATGCTCATGCTCAAATAAATTGGTTAGTCTCTAAGGTGCCACAAGTACTCCTTTTCTTTTTGCAAATACAGACTAACACGGCTGTTCCTCTGAAACCTGTCATGTTGTTATGATGATGGATGCTAGGAAGGCATGAGAATCTCTCCTGAGAAGTTCTAGTTACTTATAATACTGCAAGATACCAGGTTAAGTTATAGATTTCTCAAACTTTATCCATAGCCTAATAAGAATTCAAATGATAGGTGAAGAATTCTATTAAAATATATCTTATACCCAAACATTGAAGTCATTTCTAGAGTTGTACAAGCTTTATATATATGAAATGTATGTACTACTGCAAATGTAATTAATGGTTAAAGAAATGTTTGAAAGCTTACATGTGATATACAACAGTGTCTTTATGTTTATTTTTGTTTCCAAAATCTTGGTCAAGTCATCTGTAAATGGATTTGTTCACCAAAGAAGTTTACGTGGTTAAAGAAATAAATATTTTTACCATACCTTTTTATGTATGTATTCTTTCCTCAGTGATTTTTCTAATACTTTAGCTTCATATTCTGCTCTTGGATGAGCCTGTGAAATAAGTCACATTTAATAGTAAAGAAATTATATCGATTTCCTAGTTCATCTATATATGAACAAATGACAAGTCCAGTTCCTACTAGTTTCCAGTTTCTCATACTGAATTCTAATTTACTATACATATCACTAACGTAATGTTGATAGCATATTGTAGCTAAAATCTTTTAAGTACTATATCATTCTAAATTCTGTTCCTTGGAATAAATGTTTAGGAAACAGAAAAAAGCTCTACAAAATATATCAAGTGTAACCCTGTGCAGATCAAGCTTGGGTCATTGTGATTTACAGTGCAGCTTGCAGAGACTACAGATCACAACATTTGATGTTCCATCTTGATATGAGACATTGCCATTTGGATCAAGATGAAACATTGCATTCTACAAACTATAATCTCTATGAACCATGCTTCATGAAGGGTAGCTGTTATCTGCTATAATTTAGGCAAAATATGTGCAGCTCTTGGGGTACTGGCAAGTTGCCAATGAGGCCCTCAGGTGGGCCAAGTTTGGATACCAAATTTATTCATACCTACAGCAACATCCCTAGAAAGGTACATCTTTGCAATGCAACAGACACTGCATATTAAACTAGCCACATACAATGAAAAGAGGAGATATAGGAAAATAACCCGAAATAGAAGGAACAAAACAGCTGAAGGATTCCAAAAATACCCACAAGAATGCACTGGATGGAAAAATAGAATGGATTTGAAAAAAAAAAAGACCAACCACTGGAAAAAAGGAAAGAAAGCTGTAGTGGGAGCTTTAAGGAAATTAGATGCTGGAAAAAAGAAGTGGGTGAAATCAAAAAGATACCTTTCACTGATAGACAGGTAATAAAAAAGGTAGAGCAATTAAAAAAATTCCAAACCTTGACTGCCTCCTTCAGGAAACCAGAAAAGAAAGAAAAAAACAAAACACAAAAAACAAACAAAAAAGATGATTACTGCACTGTTGCAAATTGCACTGAATTTATTTTTTTTAAATCACATGCAACAACATGATAGATAGAGTGGATGGATAGACACAACCAGGAAAAACCAGTCTGCTCTTGTTTTCATATTGAAGAGATACTAACATTACTGCATCAAAGAGTTTACTGAATAAATGTACCCTACAGAAGATTAAATATTTTAGTATTTTAGGATGCCATCTAAGATCCTGATTCAGCAAGCATTTAAGCATCTGCTTAAGTCCCATTGAAGTCAATGGGAAGCTAGGAGCGTAAGTGTGCTGCTAAACAAGGGGAGCTAGCGGGGAGCATATTAAGTGGAGAGTAAAATATACTTTATTAACAGCTGCTGTCTCTGGTCAGACATTGTTTTTACTGCAGAGAACTCTGAACACACCCACGAAGGGGATAGCTGTTGGAAAGATACAGTTAATCCTTTCCACTTTCATGTATGCTAACAATTAGATGCCAAAAATAAAAGGATAGTCGTCTTACAATAGCTAGGAAAAAAAGCATCCTCCTATTGTCATCCAATAAAATTGCAGGTCCCAATCCTGCAGCATGCATTGGCACAGGATATGCCTGCACGGAGAACTTACCAGGACTGGGACCTTAGAAACCAAACTTTCTTCTGAGAAGTCAATTAAAAATAAAAAAGCTTTTGTAGAATAATTATATCAGGCCCATCAGATAGCATGACACACTGTTTAATAAAAGGTGTCCTACAATACACTCCCATATAACTGAATAATATTTTTGTGAATATAATCACTATGTCTAGATTGCACAGGCAGTCATATTTTTAATAAAAGAAGTACAGGCATAAATCCCAAGAAATGAACTTTACAAAGATATTGGGCCCAGTCCAGCTCTCATGGAAGTTAGTGGAACAGCTGCACCTGAGTGATGGCTTTGAATGGTTTTTTGGGCTGAATAAAGCCCAAAATATTTATCACTCAGAACTCCCATTGCCTTCAATTCCAATTTGCAATCCAAATATTGTTTCTAAAAAACCCAAAACACCTGAGATGGAATAAATCTAAACTGTCCTCCTTATCTTCTATGGGTTTTTTGTGTATGCCAAAGATGCTCAAATGAATTGTGCGGCTAGGGTCTCATCCAAAACGTATTGAAGCCAGTGATAACCTACAACTGCCTCCAATGAACTTTGGATCAAGGGCTTTGAAATGTAGATCCTCAAAATGACTCTTTTCCTTTTATTCCATAAACATTTTAATATTCAGCACTCTTTTGCATATATTATATATTTAGTACTCTTTTGCTTGGATATTCCTATCTCTAACCACTCCCAAACATGTCTTTTGGCACACACGGCAAAGACAACCTCCAAATTTGTGTCCTAGTGTTTTTACACAATGCTCCATACCAATGTACCTGCAGTATTTTCCACAAAATTTTCCTGATTAAAATGTGATCCTGCACCATTAATGTTTATGGGAGCTTTTCCCATTGGCTTGAATGGAGCAACTATGCCATTTTCAGAAACTAGTTTTTCATGCTGGCTTTACAATGGTGTAAACTTTATCAACTTTGACAGAGCCATTCCTGACTTATAGCAGAGTAGCTAAGAGGTGAGTAAGTCTCTCTGCTTTTAATATCCTTTCTTGAGTCAGGGAATTATGTATGAGCAATATATTCCGTGCCTGCATTACTAGGTATGACCTAACATAATTTTTTTAAAAACAGTGTGTGTGTGTGTGAGGGGTGTTGTTGTAGATCTACAATTATGCTTCCATGGTAACAAGATGTGCTAGCAATACACCCATAATAAAAAACTCAGAAATAGTTCACATACAGGATTTTCCTTTGCACCAAGGAATTACTGCAAAAATCTTGCAGTATTCCATGAAGCAAAGTCTTAACAGTTTAGAGTAAGGCGCCATTTACAGTGTAACTATTGAAGTTAAAATGTAACAAAACAAAACCAGGAAATGGAGTCAAATCAAACCAACTTAAATACTAACCTCCTCCTCTTCAAACCCAGTCAGATCCCACCTATAGTTGAGACGCATCTGTTTTCTCTTCCAGTGTTCCATAAAAGTGGCAGCTAGAAATTAAAAAAAAGTTTGTTAGAGCATAGTTATTTGGACCATTTATAAGGTCTTCAAAATCAAATTGGCCTGGGTTAGAATTTGTCTAAAGTATCTGCTTAGGTGTGTTGGGTCAAATTTATTCTCAGTTACCCTGGTGTAAATCCAGAGGATCTCCACTGAGAACAACTGAGAGCAGAATTGGCCTGATATCTACAAGATGTTAATAAGTAAAACTATTATGCATAAGGGCCTGGTTTTGCATATCTGGTACATCCAAAACTTCCATTAGGTTTGGACAGAAGGTGGCTAGTTATTAGGGCAGTTTAATTTCAGGAGCTGTTTTTAAAAATAATTTATAATTAAATTGTAAATGGAAATTTATGTTCGTGAGAATTCTGAGTTCTCCAGTAGGAGTACTTGGTAAATACTAAGGGCCAAACTCTGGGAGCCAACTTTTAACTATGGGAGCCAAAAGAAATGCTCATATACCCACAAAACCTTTGTTTGTTCCTGGTAGCGGATAGTTAAGTGCACGATTAAGGCTGGAATTTTCAAAGGTACCTCAGGGAGTTAGGTGTTCAAATCAAATTTAACTAATATTTTGTGTCTCTGTATGATATTAGCAGGTGTCATTTGTATATGGCTGCCTAGCAAGCTGAACAGTATTAGTTTTGTCCATACATAACAGTTGCAGATCTCTAACTATACTGGTATAGTTAAAGTGGTATGACCCCCTTTCCCCCCCAGCTCATCCCCAAGTGTGGACACAGTTATATTGGTATAAAGGTACTTATAAGTTATTCCCATTAGGGAAGTAAAATAAAGGAGAATGAGCCCTGGTCTACACTAAGACTTTAGGTCGAATTTAGCAGCATTAAATCGATGTAAACCTGCACCCATCCACACGATGAAGCCCTTTTTTTCGACTTAAAGGGCTCTTAAAATCGATTTCCTTACTTCACCCCTGACAAGTGGATCAGCGCTTAAATTGGCCTTGCAGGGTCGAATTTGGGGTACTGTGGACAGAATTCGACGGTATTGGCCTCCGGGAGCTACCCCAGAGTGCTCCATTGTGACCGCTCTGGACAGCACTCTCAACTCAGATGCACTGGCCAGGTAGACAGGAAAAGAACCGTGAACTTTTGAATCTCATTTCCTGTTTGGCCAGTGTGGCAAGCTGCAGGTGACCATGCAGGGCTCATCAGCAGAGGTGACCATGATGGAGTCCCAGAATCGCAAAAGAGCTCCAGCATGGACTGAACGGGATCTGATCGCTGTATGGGGAGAGGAATCCGTGCTATCAGAACTCCATTCCAGTTTTCAAAATGCCAAAACCTTTGTCAAAATCTCCCAGGGCATGAAGGACAGAGGACATAACAGGGACCCGAAGCAGTGCCGCGTGAAACTTAAGGAGCTGAGGCAAGCCTACCAGAAAACCAGAGAGGTGAATGGCCGCTCCGGGTCAGAGCCCCAAACATGCTGCTTCTATGATGAGCTGCATGCTATTTTAGGGGGTTCAGCCACCACTACCCCAGCAGTGTTGTTTGACTCCTTCAATGGAGATAGAGGCAACACGGAAGCAGGTTTTGGGGACGAAGAAGATGATGATGATGATGAGATTGTAGATAGCTCACAGCAAGCAAGTGGAGAAACCGGTTTTCCCGACAGCCAGGAATTGTTTCTCACCCTGGACCTGGAGCCAGTACCCCCTGAACCCACCCAAGGCTGCCTCCTGGACCCGGCAGGCAGAGAAGGGACCTCTGGTGAGTGTACCTTTTAAAATACTATACATGGTTTAAAAGCAAGCATGTGAAAGGATTAATTTGCCCTAGCATTCACGGCTCTCCTGGAGGTACTCCCAAAGCCTTTGCAAAAGGTTTCTGGGGCGGGCAGCCTTATTGCGTCCTCCATGGTAGGACACTTTACCACTCCAGGCCAGTAACACGTACTCGGGAATCATTGTACAACAAAGCATTGCCGTGTATGTTTGCTGGCGTTCAAACAACATCCGTTCTTTATCTCTCTGTGTTATCCTCAGGAGAGTGAGATATCATTCATGGTCACCTGGTTGAAATAGGGTGCTTTTCTTCAGGGGACACTCAGAGGTGCCTGTTCCTGGGCTGTTTGCCTGTGGCTGAACAGAAATGTTCCCCGCTGTTAGCCACGGGGAGGGGGGAAGGGTTGAGGGGGTAGCCACGCGGTGGGAGGGAGGCAAAATGCGACCTTGTAACGAAAGCACATGTGCTATGTATGTAATGTTAACAGCAAGGTTTACCCTGAAAGAGTGTAGCCACTGTTTTATAAAATGTGTCTTTTTAAATACCGCTGTCCCTTTTTTTTTCTCCACCAGCTGCATGTGTTTCAATGATCACAGGATCTTCTCCTTCCCAGAGGCTAGTGAAGATTAGAAAGAAAAAAAAACGCACTCGTGATGAAATGTTCTCTGAGCTTATGCTGTCCTCCCACACTGACAGAGCACAGATGAATGCGTGGAGGCAAATAATGTCAGAGTGCAGGAAAGCACAAAAGGACCGGAAGGAGAGGTGGAGGGCTGAAGAGAGTAAGTGGCGGGCTGAAGAGAGTAAGTGGCGGGCTGAAGAGAGGGCTGAAGCTCAAATGTGGCAGCAGCATGATGAGAGGAGGCAGGATTCAATGCTGAGGCTGCTGGAGGATCAAACCAGTATGCTCCAGTGTATGGCTGAACTGCAGCAAAGGCAGCTGGAGCACAGACTGCCACTACAGTCCCTGTGTAACCAACCGCCCTCCTCTCCAAGTTCCATAGCCTCCTCACCCAGATGCCCAAGAACGCGGTGGGGGGGCCTCCGGCCAACCAGCCACTCCACCACAGAGGATTGCCCAAAAAACAGAAGGCTGGCATTCAATAAATTTTAAAGTTGTAAATTTTAAAGTGCTATGTGGCATTTTCCTTCCCTCCTCCACCACCCCTCTTGGGCTACCTTAGTAGTCATCCCCCTATTTGTGTGATGAATGAATAAAGAATGCATGAATGTGAAGCAACAATGACTTTATTGCCTCTGCAAGCAGTGATGGAAGGGAGGAGGGGAAGGTGGTTAGCTTACAGGGAAGTAGAGTGAACCAAGGGGCGGGGGGTTTCATCAAGGAGAAACAAACAGAACTTTCACACCGTAGCCTGTCCAGTCATGAAACTGGTTTTCAAAGCTTCTCTGATGCGTACCGCTCCCTCCTGTGCTCTTCTAACCGCCCTGGTGTCCGGCTGCGCGTAACCAGCAGCCAGGCGATTTGCCTCAACCTCCCACCCCGCCATAAACGTCTCCTCCTTACTCTCACAGATATTGTGGAGCGCACAGCAAGCAGTAATAACAGTGGGAATATTGGTTTCGCTGAGGTCTAAGTGAGTCAGTAAACTGCGCCAGCGCGCCTTTAAACGTCCAAATGCACATTCTACCACCATTCTGCACTTGCTCAGCCTGTAGTTGAACAGCTCCTGACTACTGTCCAGGCTGCCTGTGTACAGCTTCATGAGCCATGGCATTAAGGGGTAGGCTGGGTCCCCAAGGATAACTATAGGCATTTCAACATCCCCAACAATTATTTTCTGGTCTGGGAATAAAGTCCCTCCCTGCAGCTTTTGAAACAGAGCAGAGTTCCTGAAGATGCGAGCGTCATGTAACTTTCCCGGCCATCCCACGTTGATGTTGGTGAAACATCCCTTGTGATCCACCAGAGCTTGTAGCACTATTGAAAAGTACCCCTTGCGGTTTATGTACTCGCCGGATTGGTGCTCCGGTGTCAAGACAGGGATATGGGTTCTGTCTATGGCCCCACCACAGTTAGGGAATCCCATTGCAGCAAAGCCATCCACTATGACCTGCACATTTCCCAGACTCACTACCCTTGATATCAGCAGATCTTTGATTGCGTGGGCTACTTGCATCACAGCAGCCCCCACAGTAGATTTGCCCACTCCAAATTGATTCCCAACTGACCAGTAGCTGTCTGGCGTTGCAAGCTTCCACAGGGCTATCGCCACTCACTTCTCAACTGTGAGGGCTGCTCTCATCTTGGTATTCATGTGCTTCAGGGCCGGGGAAAGCAAGTCACAAAGTTCCATGAAAGTGCCCTTCCGCATGCGAAAGTTTCGCAGCCACTGGGAATCGTCCCAGACCTGCAACACTAAGCGGTCCCACCAGTCTGTGCTTGTTTCCCGAGCCCAGAATCGGCGTTCCACAGCATGAACCTGCCCCATTAGCACCATGATGCATGCATTGGCAGGGCCCATGCTTTCAGAGAAATCTGTGTCCCTGTCCTGATCACTCACATGACCGCACTGACGTCGCCTCCTCGCCCGGTATCGCTCCGCCAGGTTCTGGTGCTGCATATACTGCTGGATAACGCGTGTGGTGTTTAATGTGCTCCTAATTGCCAAAGTGAGCTGAGCGGCCTCCATGCTTGCCTTGGTATGGCATCCGCACAGAAAAAAGGCGCGGAACGATTGTCTGCCGTTGCTCTGACGGAGGGAGGGGCGACTGACGACATGGCTTACAGGGTTGGCTTACAGGGAATTAAAATCAACAAAGGGGGTGGCTCTACATCAATGAGTATTTCAGGCAGGACTTCACGGAGGGTTCCAATAAGAAATGGTGCACCTAAGTAGTTGTTCTTATTGGAACAAGCAGGTTGGTCTGGCCTCCGATTGATACATGGCTAGATTTACCTCGCTGCACCTTCTCTGTGAGTGACTGCAGTGTGACCTAGAGGAATGAGTCCCCTAGATGGGGGAGGGGGGGAAGCAAATGAGTACAAAACAAATCTGGTCTATTTCTTGTTTTGATCCACTCCATCTATCTTTTACATCTTTGGCTGGCAGCAGACAGTGCAGAAGGACTGCAAGCCATCCACATCTCACGGCTGCTTGGCAGAAGATGGTACAGTAGGACTGCTAGCAATCCATATCGCCTGCCTGCTCACCATAAGATGGTTCAATAGGACTGACTGCAGGACTAAAGAGAATGACCTGGTCAAGTCCCTTCTA